TTAAAGTTAGACATTTCGAACATGTAGTAATTATTTTATAGTCATGAGGAATTCTACCCCTAACCCCAGTAAGTAAATTCATTGAATTTATGACAAAATTGCCACCATAAATTATTAGTATGATTAGTAAACCGATCTATTTGTATACGGGCGAAGAACTTCCATAAGCACTTTGTACTTACACAGATAAATTGCGTTTGAATATTTAAAGCTCAATCGCGAACGATAACGAAGTGAAATATGTGAAAAACAAGCCTTTATACGCGTTAATGACCTTACTTCAGCGTACATTAGATACTCAAGTAAACGAAGAATAGTTTTTCATGCCTGCGTTTATTTCTGATACAGTTCACTACAATTAATTTACTTCCTCAGTCGAAAAGTGACGAGCCCCTAAACGGTATGAAATACCTTACTGCCCCGATCGACTTAATTGTACCACGGTTAAAGAAGACCGATTACCTACCTGTGGTTTGTTAAAAGTTTATGAAAGCTCTTACACTAATATTATTTACAGGATTAGGATTGAGTGTTTACTACATACAAGTAAAGCTCCAAACTTGAACTAATTGAATTTGAAGTGCTCAACCTCAGCATCCAACAATTTCCGTAAAAGCAAGTTAATTATTTAAATGAAATCTTAACTTTGATGGGAAGAAAAGAATGGAAAAAAAGTTTGGACACTCCACATAAAAACTTTCCTCGCGAATTTGATATACACAATTTCCGTTCGGCGCGTTATTTATTTAGGGAACACGTATTTCCGTTGGCAAACTTTCAATTACATATAAGAATACGGAAAATCCTGTCAATCAATCTTTACAGTCGGTGTGATTAACACGAAAACTAATTAGGGCGCGTTGATCACTTAAAATTTAATAGAAATCGTGCAAGCTTCCGCGTATAGATTGCCCTTTATTTTAATCTGAAAGATCTGCTTAAAGCATGCAGATAAAATAAACGGAATGTACCTAATCTTACGGGTTAAGCTAAATTTTATTCATGGTATTATTACGGAGATTAAGTCCTTTATTTTATAACGTTTGCAGCACGGACACGAAACTACGATCGATGTCACTATTATTTGGAAATCTGCTTTGACATTATTCTTAGGTGAAGTGATCGTGAGCACATTAAAGAAATGCGGAGCAGTAAAACAATAAGCCGCTTTGTACTAGGCATTGCAGTAGGCTTTTTCTCTTTTAAATGAAATTATTAACAACGACTAGCTGTAATTCTTTAAATGTAAGTTTTAGGTTGGCGTACACACTGGAAAATTTCTCCTTTAGTTTCTGGAAATTGACTTGAAAATTGGTAATTTTGACAATTGACTGCTTGTTAGATTAAAAACAAGTCTTATATCGTTATTCCGACAATATATGACGAAAAAACTAACATTTTCTAATTTCCCTATGAATTTTTTTAATTATAGAAATAATTTTTTTGTGGCCATAGTCTCTTAACTTCCATTTAACTTTATTTTACACAAATTCGATATTGTGCATGAGTTCGCCAAATCTATATGTAACACTGACCGGCTTCAAAATAGCGAGTTTTGAGAAGTATCTTTTTGTTTATTACTTTTTAAGTCGTAAGTGTTGTTTACAGTAATTAAGGTCATTTGGCTAATCACTGCCCCAACCCTCGGCTGATAATTAATAAAGGAAATGAATAACCAAATGGGCGGCCTTGCGCCGCCCGCTGATATAAACGAAATACCTGTTATCAGTGAAAAAGACCTCGAATCATTCGATTTGAGCAACAAATACACTAGTAATGACAAAGGTCCCTATTTTGTGTACGTCGAACACTTAAATAAAAATATTGGTAGACTTTTTACAATGAAAATAGGATACTTCTTATTAGAAGAAGACACGTTTAAAAATGATATAATTGATATTATATCGGTAGGCGTAAGTAGAGTCAAAGTAATATTTAAAACTTTTTCAGTGGCTAATAGTTTAATACAACACAGTGTTATAATTAAAAACAAATTAGTTGCTTACATACCATCTTTTTTTAACCATCGGAAGGGTATTGTCCGGATGGTCGACACTTTTTTTTCTGAAAGTTATTTAGTCAACAACATCGAATGTGACAACTTCAAAGTAATTAGTGTTCAACGAATGAAACGTAGAATCACAGATAATGAAGGGAATTTGAAGCTAGTAGACAGACAAATGATAATTATAACGTTTCTGGGCAATTATTTACCGCATAAAATAAGAATTAACTTATCAAGCTTTCCCGTTGGCCCATATGTCCAACCTGTTGTTCAGTGCTTTAAATGCCTTAAGTACGGGCATACGGTGAAGTTGTGCAGGACCAGATCGCCCCGATGCAAAATATGTGCTGAAATACACGAACCAAATGAATGGTGTAATGAATCCAATTCGTTTTGTCTATACTGTCAATCAAACGATCATTCTACCATTTCCAAAAAATGTCCTTCGTACTTGCAACAACTCAAAATCAAAAAAGAAATGGCAACGCAGAATATCTCATTTAAAGACGCGGAAAAAATTGTCAACAATCCTTCCTATGCGAAAATTTCAACGCACAACCAATTTGCGATCTTGAACAATGAAACAAACTTTCCTTCATTACCTCCCACTAACACGCAAATTCAACCCAAAGTGGTTATCCGAAAACCAGTCCAAAATAATCCTGTAGTTAAGAAACGCAAACAACGATCTCCCTCCCCTACTCCTTCAGTTTCATACAAAAAAATTTTTCCAACAAAAGAAACAAACCTATTCCCCTTAATCCATACAGAGAAGAATTTATCCAATATAAAGAGTCGATTATAGAAAAAATTACAATGTTTGTACAACAAAATTTCAGAACCAAGAACAGTGGTCTTTCAGGTGTTTGCGATATTAAAGAATTCGTAGCCAATATAATAGAAGTAGACAAAGATAAAATGTCAGACACAATTAGTATCAGTGATAATGAATCCAACGACCAGATCACTTAGGATTCTTCAGTGGAATATTCTGTCATTCAACAAACACAAGCCCAATTTAATAAATTACATTTCTCAAAATCCAGTTGATATAATAATTCTATCCGAAATATGGCAAAAAACGGCAATAATAAAAGTGCGTGGCTTTTCCTCCGTACAGGCAAACAGAACTGATGGCAGGGGAGGAGTAGCGATTCTTATAGCAAACAATTTGCTTTACAAACAAATAAGCATTAAAAAAACTTTAACCAGAGTATAGAAGTGTGCGCTGTAACACTAGAACAACCAAAAATATCTATTGCGTCAATCTATAAAACTCCAAAACAGAACGTAGGCATTGATGACTGGGAAAACGTATTTTCACAATTTTCAGGGGACGGACTAATTTGCGGAGACTTCAATTGTCACCACACACTGTGGGGTTCCTCCCAAGATTTAAACAACGGAGTTAGCCTTATTCGAGCCCTGGATAATAGTAATCTAATTGTGCTTAATGATGGTACACCCACCCGAACTAGCAGACCAAATGAAGGCCCATCTGCTGTAGATCTGTCAATCGCATCTCCCAATCTTATCGGTAAAGTTAAGTGGTCCGTTCTAGCGGATAGAATGGGATCTGACCATTTCCCTATCATGATGAACTATAATTGTGACTATATCCCTCAGGTAATAAATCCGTATAGCAAATGGAAGGAAAATTCCGTAGATTGGTCCATATTTCAACATACCTTAAGCAATTTACTACTCCAATTAATCCCTTCAGAATCGACCTCTTTGTCGGATTTCATATCATTAATCGAAATAGCTGCCAGCAAATCCATGAAAATTAAAACCCCATTTGTACCTACTACTCCACGGCCTTATTGGTGGGACGAGGAGTGCTCTCAAATAGTCGCGGAACGGAGAACAGCGTACAAAACATATAACCATACGTCTAACTGGGAAAACTATATCAATGTTAAAAAAATTCGAGCTCAAACTAAACTTTTATTTAAAAGAAAAAACGAAACAAAATGGAGAAACTTCTTGAACAGTTTAAACAAAAATACTCCCTCGTCTAAAATATGGTCCTTCATCAAAAAAGTGTTTAACAAAAAATATGCCAGTGCTAAATCAAACATACCATTAGAAATGATAGACAGTTTATTAAAATATTTTGCCCCTGATACTGTGGTTTATGTTCAGACTGATTTCCCGCTACAAAAAAATGAGTTCATGGAAAAAAAATTTAACCTTGCGGAACTAGAATCGGCGCTAAACATAACGCGAAAAACTGCTCCCGGTAAAGATATGATTACCTACAGTATCTTAAAAAATCTCCCTCAAATTGCAAAAGAGAAGTTGTTAGACTTATATAATGATTGGTGGATGAAGGGCGTAATACAAGATCAACTTAAGGATGTGGTAATTACCTTAATACAAAAGCCTAATAAAAATCCCAACTTACTCTCTTCATACAGACCCATCTCATTAACGTCATCCATATCAAAAACATATGAACGCATAATAAAGTCGAGGCTAGATTGGTATCTAGAACATTATACTAAATTACCATCGACCCAGTACGGATTCAGAAGGGGCATGGGCACAATGGAAGCTGTCGCCCATTTAGTGGCTGATATTCAATGTGCATTTTCAAAGAACTACTACGCAGCGTGCTTGTTTCTTGACCTAAAAGGGGCATATGACTCTGTTGATCTGAACAGGTTAGAAGAGAAAATGATAGGTTTAAAAATCGGCTCCAGAGCGACTGCTAATGTAGGAGATCTTTTCAGAAATCGGAAAATTTACATTAAAGACCAAAACAATAATTTACATGGACCTAGATGGGTCAATCTTGGGCTACCTCAAGGGGCGGTTCTGAGCCCCATACTTTTTAATGTTTATACTTACGACATTCACAGGTTACTAGACCCCAAGATCAAATGTATACAATACGCTGATGACTTCTGCTTCTATACCGTGCAGGACTCTTATGGCGTTTGCATCAAAGAGCTAAAATATTAAAAACTGGTTAGGGGAACACAATCTTAGCATGTCACCTGAAAAGTCAGCTCTTGTTCTCTTCACCCGACACAGACTACACACAAGCACTAGCGTCAAGATGTGCGGGTTGGACATTCCAATAAAAAAAGATTATAAATATTTAGGAATGGTCCTAGATAGCAAGCTTATATGGAATAAGCACATCGAACATATAAAGAGCAAATGTGACTATGGTACTAACATGCTTAAATGTGTCATAAAAACCAAGTGGGGTGCAGCTCCTGTAATTGCTCTGCAATTCTACAGAGCATACATTCGCTCCATATTGGATTATGGTAGTCCTTTGTACGGGGTGGCGGCAGTATGTCATCTGCGTGCTGTCGACAGAATTCAATATAATGCATTAAGAATCTGTATTGGAGCTATGAAATCTTCGCCGGTTCAAGCGATTTTAGTGGAGGTTCAGGACCCGCCACTGTATATAAGACGCAACTATCTAGCTTCCAAGGAAGTCATTAAACTTAAAACCTTTTCTTTCAACAGTGCAATCATGAAAAGTGTATATCAACTCGCAATTAATAACCTAACTTCAAACTACTGGAAGTTCAAAAAAGGACCTATGTTGGCAGAAGCGTTCATAAATACTGAAGTAGATGTAGAAAGTAAATATAGCAAACTTCCAATTTACGATCTTGACTTCGACGCTATCATGTTCAGACCGACTGTTATATTCCCAAAATACAACGAAAGTAGCGCGTACAATAAAGCACTTCTGCGATCCATACTGGGTCGATACAATAACTATATGAACATTTATACAGATGGATCGAAATCCTCAAGCGGGACTGGACTGGCGTTTCTCGTTCCAAATACCAATCTTCATTATAAATGTAAAATTCCGGAATCATGTTCCATATTCACTGCTGAAACGTTAGCCATAGACAGGGCGTTAAAATGGCTTATAGAAGTCAATATTTCACAAAACGCGGTTATTCTGTCTGACTCTAAATCCGTTCTTGCTGCACTAACTAATCTAAATTTCTTTAAAATGGGTAATTCAGAGATCATGTGTCAACTAAAGCAACGCATATTTACATTAGAAACCTCAAAACGTAATATTGTATTTGGTTTGGGTTAAGGGGCATTCGGGAATTGCAGGAAATGAAAAGGCAGACGAACTTGCCAAAGAAGCTGCATCGGGAACTAAATTATTCAAAATTTCGCCTTTTTACGACCTAGTGAATTCGGCAAGGAAGAACATGAGATTAAGCTGGGATCTTCATTGGCAAGATTTTACGACAAAGTCCAAGAACCATTATACCTTGATACACCCCAAGGTACCATGCAAGACACCACATATTTCAAATTTCAATGTCACCAGAAAATACGCGGTCTCAATCACTAGATTAAAACTTAACCACGGGAAATTCCCCGCTCACCTTAATAAAATTGGCCTAGCCGAGTCGCCCTACTGTTCATGCGATAACTTGTCAATAGGTGATTTAAACCACATCTTCTTCTCATGCAAAAATTTTATCCACGCCATTAAACAACTGCAAGAAATTCTGATAACAAATTCAATTCCTCTACCGGTAAACATAACGACATTACTTGATACTCATAACAAAAACATATTTGATGCTCTGGTCAATTTCATGAATAGCATTCAAATGGACATTTAAAATTAGTTCGCGTTAATTATAAAACCAGGGAACATAACAAAAGTCTGTGGCAAACGGATAACATCCAATGCCAACCCTTACTACACACACACACACACACACACACACACACACACACACCAAAAGAATCGGGAATCGAGTAGGAAACAGAAATATCGGCACCCGTATCATCCAAAAAACGACTTGTTTTCCTGTTGGCGGCGCAATATGTTCATTTCAAACCTAACTGCTTTCCTGCCGGCAGCCCAATCATATGATATGCCAAATCCACTTGTTAACAAGGCACGTGGTGTGAAAAACCACAAAAATATTGTCTAATAAAATAGCTTTTATCCCAACTTTGCACAAGAAATCGTATACAAAATACGAAAAAATGACCAACCTTGTTTGTAGTTGTATGACCTACTCTACAAAAAGGAATTAGAAGTGATTTAGGTACACTGAAGTAACGCTAACGTCTCACTGCAGCTAAAACTACGTAATTTAACAGTGGTTTCATGTTCTTTGTTGAGAAATAGTAAACGACGTAATTGAAATTGTTCCGTAGAAGAACATCTGTTTAGATTTTCAACACATACGGTTTCTAGATTCGTGTAGCGTGCCAAAAACGAACAAAATCACAACACAAATCTAATTAGTTATCATACAAATGTAAAAGCAAGCGAGACTTAGATCTAATAAATTTCCAACTTTAGAGGGTAGAACGTTTAAGGTTTCCATTGGGAAGAACGTCTGGATAGAATTACTAAATTATGGATAATTAACACTGCACATGAGAATTACAGGCTGAGACGGCTGTAAACAAGAACCCAAGACAAACTTTGAGTTAGTTAATGCTGTTGAGTGGAGAACAATAGAATTCGAGGCTATTGTGGATCATATACAATGGCACCTACCTTGTTCGGAAAGTGTATTTTAGAATACTTGATTACTTCTCAAAGGGGTCGGCGCGTATTAGTAATTCCGTATTGCGGCGAAACTATAATTTTCATCTTCATACTCGACCCGGATTAAAAATTGCATTGTTTACTGATTAAACAGATGCCGCCACTTCTAAACTTTCCAGGGTTGTGTTTCCGGCTTCGTCGGAAACCTAGTCATACCCTTTCATTTTGGCGTATCTCGTTATACACGTTTGTAAGTTAAATTTTTATACGGCACGCAAACAAGGAAGGTGAGTTGCGATAGTAAAAAAATTTCATTAAAACTTTCTCACAGCAAGAGTTTGTTCTCGAGTAATAAATTTTATGCGATTAGGCTCATTTACTAAATGCGGCTACGATAGGGATAGCGTAAATGCGTTGAGTGAATATGATTTACATAAAATGCTGTAAGTTTTGGGGAAGTCTGAAGGAGATATCACATGTCTTAAAATTGAATTAGAAAAGAATAAAAGGAACGACAGATTTCTGCGGGCGGATTTCGATTTATTTATTTGCAAGAGAATAAACGTGGGGGTAACTTTTCGATGCACCACCTTGTATTTCTGGGTTTCTCTCTCTGGCATACATAACGGTCTATTTTTCGTTATTAAATTTAATTTAAATGATGAAGCATGAATGACAATAAATAAGAATTTAGAAACTTGTCCATTTATCGCAATGTGGAATGTAGATAAGAACGTCACGCGTTGCAGACTTGATTTACGTTTGAAATGTGTCCAGTTTTAATTGAAACGTTAGTTCAGGTGTGTGATGTGTAATACAGATTTCCCATTTCTCAACGATCTGCTTTCTTCTCAATGGTAATCATCTTCTATAACTATTTTGCGTTTTGATATTGTTAGCTGGTAAAAAGTGAGTAGGGTTACATGTACCTATATAATAGCCTTCTTATCCCGTAGTCGGACTTTTTTTGAACGCTTTGTTCCAGAAGATTCTTTAAGGAAAACTGGTTAGTGGTTGACTTTTTCGATCACCTTCTAATATAGCGAGTGACTCCTGTATTTTGCACATAAGTAATTTTTATGTAAAGGTACATGGATAATTTTATCAAAGTTTTTGGAGTCAATTGGAATGCCAGTGCTAATCGTTGATACATTTGCTAGGTCATTTTCAATGTTTCTTAAATAACTGCTTTTACGTGACCGTTTTCAAATTTAAATCAAGAGATATCCGTTCAGACCGATGGCTGATCTTTATTTAATTTTGCAACAGCTCCCTTTGCCGTTGTCACAGGCAATGGTTCAAAATATTCCGGCTGTATTGCACCCTCAGCTAGCCCCTTAGTAGGTAGTATAGGACAACGGCAAAAAATAGCATGTAAAATTTTCAAGTTCAGCAGTGGCGGGAGAAATCACTCCCTCCAGAATAATGGGGTCGGAAAAGAGATGAAGATGAACACCTTCACCCAATAAAGTACACAACTCCGACAGGCACAGAGGGAATTTTGCAAGCCATTTTTTTACCGTTGTTCTACTACCAACTGCGGGACTAGCTGTGGGTGCAAGATAGCCGGCATTTTTTGCGCCATTACCTGTGCCAACTGCCAAGGGAGCTGTTTTAACTCTCCGCCAATCCTTGTAGAAGATGAAAAGGAGAATTATTTTTTATATTTGCCTTTTTTGGCATAGAATGAATGGACTATAACTACGGAAATCAAGTGGGTAGTGATTGGACATTCTGTTAGTCCCCTTTACCTTTCTATTGCTATGATCTTGAGGATGCGGAATATGCAACTTTTTCCTAAGAACTCTGTAATCTCATGATAGGTTCTTCCTATAAATATAAGTGCAATTCGCCTGTTATATGGTATTCTGCTCGGAGGTTGGGTATGACGATATGTTTGTATTTCTGTTATCCCATTACTAAAGTTTCGTTATAAATCCATTCAGTGCCCATACTTTAGTCAATGTGACTGCTTCATTTAGTACCCTGTTTTTACCAACTCATAATAAAACACTTATTGTAACGGATGGTTACAAATAAAAGGGTGGTTCGGTCATTCTGACCCGAGTAGGGGTGAATGTTACAAAGGAGTGAAGATCGCAAGCTCGTGGTGTAAATTCTTCTAGCTATTTCTTCGTCCTGTGTGCTGTTATAGGTAGTACTTTTGGAGCTTATCTTTTTGTACCTTTACTTCTTATTAATTGTCAAGAATTAATACGCTTTTATTCGTATTAAGTTTTTTTGTTATATAAACAAAGGAAATATAAAAAAGCTAAAGAGCTAAACTCAGGGAAAGGGACTACATTCAGCGCACAAAACGTTGTTCTTCCATGTACGTACAAAATTGACTCTTTTTGAAACAAATAACAAAGTGTCATTGGTAAATACTCCAAAATTGGCAGGTGAAACATAACCCCTGGCTTTCAAAAAACAACGCTAGCTTATTTCATATCCCCAGGTGTTATATTTTCGTCGATGTAGCTTATTGTACGTCTGGAAAATTTGTTCATTCCTTGTTAGTTTTCGCCAAGAACAAACTTTTCTACTACACTCCTTTAAATACACTCACCTTTTTAATTCACGTAGCCCAACCGCTTTTAAATCACAAATTTAACTTTTTACAAACGGCAAACCATTACATTATCAACTATTTATAAATTCAAATTCAATGATGACTAAGAATAACGATTTTTGAATTACGTGAGGTTTTCCGAAATTTTTGTAAAAGATTCTCTTTCAATGAATTATAAAGCACCAAGAATTGAAATTCCGTATAAGTAACTCTTCGAAATATACCGTTTAGTTACGATGTAACTTATTCCTAGTAGATATTCTTTGATACGCCATTACTTTGTTACTCCACTTTTTGTCTAACTGAAAAAGGACTTATGGTTTTTTTACCAGATCTGCTAAGGCGTTTACTTCAAGGCCTCCTAGGAAAATTATGCATAACGGTCACAATTTTAGAAAATCTTAAATAAAACGAAAAGCATAACAGATAGGTGTAGGGAATGTAATAATTATTATTGCACCTATATGTTATGCTTTTCGTTTAAGATTATCTAATATTGATGGATTAGAATTTTTCGACATTTGAAATTGCAAAAAATAAAGCAGGATTCTTTTGAAAAAATCAACTTTTTGTTATTAAAATTGACCATTAGTTTTCAACACCCTGTAGAAAGGCGATCAAAATTTAAATAATTTCATGTAGGATCAAGTTACTGTTGTTGATTTTTGAAGAGTTTTTGAAATTCACGTTAACAGAGTCATAGGTACAGGGTCCTAAAGAATAGCAGTCGAACGTCAAAAATTAAGAAAAATCTTGAATAACTTGAAAACCTTTGATGCTGGGTATCGCGAAATGTGGTATCAAACGACGTAGATTTTCATATAGATTTCGAAAATGCAATAAAATACAGGGGTGTTCTATTTCAAAGTTGCTATCCACATCCGGTATCTACAATCGGAAGTAAAACGATCATATTTTCTTTCGAAGGATCTTGAAAAAATGTTGGTATGCAAATTTTCAGATTTAAATTTTTAATGGTCTGAATACATTTGAGTAACGGTATTGTAGTGTATTGTATATCACCGAGATGTACTGACGATCCGTGGTTGAGTCAAAATTTTGCTTTTGGTTTGTTAATGTAAATTGAATTATTGATGGTTTTTGAATGTTAATTGCGGTTTTAGTACACAATATGCCCGAGTGTCAGATGTTGACCAGTGCTATACCGCAATATTTTGTGCTTAAGCTCTAAAGGTTGCGACCTGAAGTTTAAAGGAAAGTTTTTTTTATTTTCGTCATTTATTTTGCGTTAATTGGTTTCTGGACGTCAATTACTACACATTTTTCCAGGAAAAAACCTTTTGGTTCAGTGCAGTATACAAGCTCCCATTGATAACTTGAGTCCGGTTTTCAGCAGCTATACCTTTTTTTTTAAGAAATCATAATGGTTCTCATTTGTTTCCGTGAATGTTCAAAATTTACATCAGTTTATTGAAATAGAGTCTATGTTTCCTGTCTGTAAAACAAAAAAATGGTCACTCTTCCACGGTGGTCATTATTTTGATGACATAAGTATCACAAAACGGAATTGGTTTTTATTA